ATGGAGCTCTTTCCAAATGAGCATGGTCTCCCATGTCTATGGTCATGTCGTGGTTCACTTCATTTATCTCCCTATAAGCATCAGTCTCCGGTTTTTCCTTACTTCAAAAAGTGATACAGCAAACATCCTTGTTCACCTAAGTTTGTGCATTCCGAGTAGAGTTACCGGGCTCAGGCCATGCATGTATGAGATTTTGATAGATGTTGTCAAGTTGCCCTGCAGAGAGGCTCGATTAGCGCACACTCCCTCCACCACACCAGCAGGCCTGTTCCAAGGCCTTCCCTCCACTGGGTGTATTTTTTCTACTGCTTTCTGTGCACCATTCTCAAGCTGTCTCCCTTAAGCTGCTTCATAATTTTTATGAATCAGTTTATGAACCAGTATGATCACAACTATATAAAGAACATAACAAAATAATCTATGTCTAGGCAAAAAAGGGGAAGGGGGCAGGAAACACCCCAATGATGGCAGTGGCTGGATCTATGTGGGCATGGTTAGATTTTTTCCAAATGTTCTTAGATGAGTGTTACTTTGATAGTACTAAGGGAAAACTTCTCCTAGTCTTATACCACGCTCCACTCTAATTCTTAAAGTTTTTTTAGGCCTAGACTATGTCTTTGGGGCAGCATGGAGGAGAGGAACTAAAGAGACATGCCATCAGTCAGATTTTGTGGGAGAAGTATGGTCCACCCCTCCTTGCAAGCTCAGGTGGACAGTGAAGGTGGGAAAGAAGAAAGGAGCGAGAATTCCTCATGGCCTGAGGCAAGATGCGAGGAGATTAGGGAAGCCTCCGGACTTAACAGTCAGAAGGCCAGTAAAGGAGCAGACATCTGTTTATAGAGGCCCGTTAGGTTTACAAGGCCAAGAAAGTGAAAGTGAAGTTACCCAGTTCAGTTCAGCTCAGTTGCTCAGTCGTGTCCGACTCTGTTACCCCATGAATCGTAGCACGCCAGGCCTCCCTGTCCATCACCAACTCCTGGAGTTTACTCAAACTCATGCCCATCAAGTTGGTGATGCCATCCAGCCATCTCATCCTCTGTCGTCCCTTTCTCCTCCTGCCCCCAACCCCTCCCAGCATCAGGGTCTTTTCCAGTGAGTCAACTCTTCGCATGAGGTGGCCAAAGTATTGGAGTTTCAGCTTCAACATCAGTCCTTCCAATGAACACCCAGGACTGAGCTCCTTTAGGATGGACTGGTTGGATCTCCTTGCAGTCCAAGGGACTCTCAAGAGTCTTCTCCAAGACCACAGTTCAAAAGCATCAATTTTTCGGCGCTCAGCTTTCTTCACAGTCCAACTCTCACATCCATACATGACCACCGGAAAAACCATAGCCTTGACCAGACGGACCTTTGTTGGCAAAGTAATGTCTCTGCTTTTTAATATGCTGTCTAGGTTGGTCATAACTTTCCTTCCAAGGAGTAAGCATCTTTTAATTTCATGGCTGCAGTCACCATCCGCAGTGATTTTGGAGCCCCCAAAAATAAAGTCTGACACTGCTTCCATTGTTTCCCCATCTATTTCCCATGAGTGATGGGACCAGATGCCATGATCTTAGTTTTCTGAATGTTAAGTTTTAAGCCAACTTTTTCTCTCCTCTTTCACTTTCATCAAGAGGCTTTTCAGTTCCTCTTCACTCTCTGCCATAAGGGTGGTGTCATCTGCATATCTGAGGTTATTGATATTTCTCCCGGCAATCTTGATTCCAGCTTGTGCTTCTTCCAGCCCAGCATTTCTCATGATGTACTCTGCATATAAGTTAAATAAGCAGGGTGACAATATACAGCCTTGACATACTCCTTTTCCTATTTGGAACCAGTCTGTTGTTCCATGTCCAGTTCTAACTGTTGCTTCCTGACCTGCATACAGGTTTCTCAAGAGACAGGTCAGGTGGTCTGGTATTCCCATCTCTTTCAGAATTTTCCACAGTTTATTGTGATCCACACAGTCAAAGGCTTTGGCGTAGTCAATAAAGCAGAACTAGATGTTTTTCTGGAACTCTTGCTTTTTCCTCGTGAAGTTGCTTAGTCGTGTCCAACTCTTTGCGACCCCATGGACTATACAGTCCATGGGAATTCTCCACGCCAGAATACTGGAGTGGGTAGCCTTTCCCTTCTCCAGGGGATCTTCCCAACCCAGGGCTCGAACCCAGGTTTCCAGCATTGCAGGAGGATTCTCTACCAGCTGAGCCACAAGGGAAGCCCTTTCTAAACCTGCGCGTGCCAGTATTTCAGATTCCAGGAAATAGCCCCAGTATTCACCAAAGTTTTTCAAACCTGAAGAGAGGAGGCCATCCTAGATTCTCACCTGTCCACCCCAGCCACCAGATCTTGACTGTATCTTCCTAAACTCTCTCCAAATCCATTTACTTCTCACATCACACTAGCTGGGGCTCTCACTGTCTCTCACCTGGATCGTTAAACTGTCAATACTTCCACCTCTAAACCCAATTTCACTCATTTCCCATAGAGTTGTCAATTCAAAGCATTTCCAATCTGCTAGTATGATTTGGGTAGAATATTTCCATGGTGTGTGGCCATAGCCGATTCTTAGCCTGGACTGCACATTTAAATCACCCAAGGAATTTTTTATGTGATTTCAATGCACCAAGTGCCCACATCCTGAGATTCAGACTAAATTGGTTTAGGGTCGGGCCCTAAAAACTACAGATTTTTAGTTTTTAAAGCTCCCCCAGGGACTTCCCTGGTGGTTCAATGGTTAAGACTCCGGACTTCCACTACAGGTGGCAAGAGTCTGATCCCTGGTGGCGGGGGGTGGGGGTGGGGGGCCTTTCCCAAGTGATTTGAATGTGCAGCCAGGGCTGAAACCTGCTGGCCTCCAGGTTCCTCTGGACAGTGTTCAGGAACTCCAAGTCATTCGGTCTTCCAGCAAATACTGAGCACCAACTATGTACTAGATGCCTCACTGGCACGGAGGCTAAGTGAAGAATAAGATGTGCTCTTCATGAAGCCTATGGTCTATCAGGGTCAACCTGAGGCTCTTAGTATTTTAAGCCTTTGATCTGCCTCCTCCCTCCTCCCACTCTTTGTTCTAGTCATCTTGTCTGATTTGGGATTCCCCAAATTTGCCCACTACAGCTTCAGGGCCTATGAACATGCCACTCTCTCAACCCAAAAATCTAGGCCCCAGCCTCCTGGCCTAGTTGAGAGTCTGTTTGAGAACCACTTCCTCTGAGAGGCTTCTACCAAACCCCACCCCCAGACCTGCCCAGATGAGCAGTGCACTCAGCTCTGTGCCTATGGTTGTCACGGCCCACTTCGCCCTCTGGCACCCTCGCTAGGCTGAGAGCTCCTTGCCCGCAGGGTTAGCGACCACGCTGTTTCTGTATCCCCATTGGAGGTGCTAATTAATTGTTTGGTGAATCCATAAATGAGTGAACTTGAATGATGAGAGGAGGAGGGTCTGTGTAAGACAACGTATGGTATGAACAAGGTATGAGCAGATAGGAGGCTACTTAGAGGAGGTATACAGCTTCAGAAGCTTCCACTTAAGGAAGCCAGGCTCTGGATAGGAGGTTCAAAAATAGACAGCTTTACAACCACCAGGGAGTCAGATAGATACATGACGTGGTATCAAAAAACTGAGTAAAAAAAAAGACAGTGGTAGTTGACTTTTCCCTTACTTCTTTTTGAAGAAGTGGCCTGTGTGGATGATACAAAGGTTTAAGAGAGGATCTGTGTTCTAATTTGGACGTTTCCTTGTTTTGTGACTTCGGGTTAGGTCTACCCTCAATATTTGGAGGGCCAGTAGCAGAAGTGCAAAATGGAGGCCCACATGCCCACACATTCGTTTAGCCACTAAGTCTTGTCCAACTCTGCAACCCCATGGACTGCAGCCCGCTAAACTCTGCTGTCCATGGACTTTTCCAGGCAAGAATACTGGAGTGGGTTGCCATTTCCTTCTCCAGGGGATCTCCCCAACCCATGTCTTTTGCATCTCCTGCATTGCAGATTCTTTACCACTGAGCCACCTGGGAAGCCCAAATATCTAAAAGTTATCAATTAAACTAATAGACCATTTAAATACAGTTTTTATTCTATTCTCCTGTTTTGATAAATACATCTTCATAATGACCTGGAAGTCTAGGTTTGAATTTTGAATTCTCAAGAGTTCTGGGAATACACTGGCACAAGAAAAACTGTTTCTCTTCCTACCAGTGGTGGGCAGAATAATTTCCCAAAATGTCCACAACCTAATCCCTGGAGCCTGTGAACAAAGGAGAATTAAGGTTGCTGATCACCTGACCTCGAGATAGGGAAATTATCCTGCTGGGCCTAATGTAATCACAAGGATCCTTCCAAGTGAAAGAGATAGAATCAGACTCGGAGAAGATGTGATAACGGAAGCAACAGGACTGCAGGCTTTGAAGACTGATGGAACCGGCCACAAGCCAAGAAACATGGGTGGCCTCTGGAAGCTGGAAAAGGCAAGTAAGTGGATTCTGCTCTAAAGCCTGCAGAAAGGAGCACAGCCCTGCAGACACCTGGATTATAGCTCATTGAGACCCATTTCTGAATGTGGAGACCACGTTCTGGCCTCCAGAAATGTGAGAGGATACATTTGTGACAACTTTACAGCAGCGACAGGAAATTAATAAACGGCCAGCCTCTGCCGTGAACCATGAGGTCTCAAGTTCACCTGCGGGGCCACACCAGTCACACGCCCCAAGTGGCTGCCCCTGGCCACTGCAACACACCAGTGTTCTCAGGAGGAGGGGCCCAGGAAAGAGGCTCTAGAAGAGAGCTGGGGCCATTTAAGCAAGGAAGTGTGGGTTTTCTGTCCTTGTGGTTGGCCTGGAAGCGGGTATGGGCTCTGGGATGGCACAGTTCCTGGGTCATGTGGGGAGGCCCACAGCTCCTAGAGGGGGGTCCAGGGAAAGACCCTTTAAAGCACAGAGGCCAGAATCCCGCAGGCAGTACTGTCTTGAGTCAATTGGCTTTACCTCCCTGAGCGTCATCTGGAACATCAACCATTCGGACCATTACTGAGCACCTCTGTGCCAAGTGTTACACTTAGAGACAGTGGAATGGTAGATAAGGAGCTGGCTGGCACAGAACAACCCCTCGATAAGCTTTAATTTCCTTCCCTTTCTATTTAATTTCATCTGAAACAAAGCCTTGCAGACTGAAAATAAAAACCCCTTGCTTAAATCCTTTGGTGGCTTTCGTTTGCTCTTGGGAGGAGCCTGAAACCCTTTGCAAGGCCCTGCAAGTCCACCCTTCCCTTCCCACTCTGCCACCTCTCTGCTCCACACACAAACCTTCCGCTTCCTTGACTGCACCAAGGGCCTTTGCTGCTCCTGGTCTTCCCCTGCTGCTCCTTCCGTCTGCAACATTCTGTCCTCCAAACATACCCACCCCAGTTTCACCGAGCTGACTCTTTCAGGGCTCAGTCTCAACGCCATTCTCTTGAGGACGCCCTGCCCTGTCCCCTAACCCTGCTAACCAGAGCAGGTTCTCTCCCAACTCTAGGGAGCACCCTCTGCAGCACCTGCCATGACGGCCATCGTATGCCTAACTGGATCACCTTATTGTGGTTAAGTATAAGATGAATCTATTTTCTTAGTTTTTCATTTCATTTTCTTCAAGACAAAGTCCAAAATGCATTACTTTTTATTGTGGTAAAATACACATAATACAAAATTTACCATTGTAGCCATTTTTAAGTATATGATTCAGTGGCATTAAGGACACTTGTCATACAACCAGTACTACTGTCCATCTCCAGAACTTTTGATTACCTAAAACCGAAACTCAATATGCATTAGACAATAACTCCTCATTTTCCCCTCTCCCCAGCCCTTAGTAACTGCTGTTGTTTCTATGAACTGACTAGTCCAGGTACTTTATATAAGTGGAATCATACAATATTTGTCCTTCTGTGTCTGCTTATTTCACTAAGCATAATGTCCTCAAGCTTCCCCCATGTTGTTGCCTGTGTCAGAACTTCCTTCCTTCTTAGGGCTGAGTAATATCCATTGTATGGATGTGCCACGTCGTGGTTATGCATTCGCCCACTGATGGGCATTGAGCTTCATCGGCCTCAGGCTAGTGTGAACAGTGCTGCTTTGAACAGTGGCACATAAACATTGGTTGTCCTGCTTTCCATTCTTTTGTGCATATACCCAGAAGTGGGATTTCTGGATTCAATGGTGAAAAACTGAGAAGTGTTAGTTGCTCTGTCCTGTCCAACTCTGTGCAACCCCATGGACTGTAGCCCACCAGGCTCCTCTGTCCATGGGATTCTCTAGGCAAGAACACTAGAGTGGGTTGCCATTTCCTCCTCCAGGGAATCTTCCCACCCAGGGATCAAAGCCAGGTCTCTTGAATTGCAGGCAGACGCTTTAACCTCTGAGCCACCAGGGAAGCCCAAATCAAATGGTAACACTGTGGAGTGCACACTGCTTTTCTCCATTCTTTTACACTCTCCCTGCCCTCTTCCTTACCATAGACTTTAGCACCATGAAGAAAGGAACTATGTCTGTCTTACTCCTGGGACCAATCAAGCTGGTGTTTCAATCAATGTTTATTAAATGAATAAATGACTTGCAATTTAGCTGACTTGGGTGAAAAAGAAACAGAAGAATGACAGCAGTTCCTCGGGGATCTGAGCTCCTAGATGTCCCACGGAAGCTGCCTACACTTTTTTAAGTTTTCACACGTTACTACAGGATTTGCCCTGACTATGGCTTTACACTGGAAGTTATTGGGTAGAAATACATAAAGCCACATCCAGGTGTCTGTGGTTCACTCATGGGGCAACCGGGGCACACTGTGAACTGCAGCTTTGAGTCAGAGGAACAGGGTTAGAATTCAAGCTCCACGACCTCGGGGTGTTTACTCTTGAGCCTCTCTCCTTACCTGTAAAACGGGAATATTGTGATTAACAGGAATGGCAGCATGACATTATTCATCAGGCAACTACAAAGATTATCTCAAGTACATAAAGGGCCTGGAACCAAAGAGGTGCTGTCAATGAAACGTGAGTTCTCCCCTCTCTCCTTTACTTGCCCCCCACACACAGTGTGTGCTCACCTGATAGGCATGATCGTCTGTTTTGGAAAGCCTTTAAGGTTTTTGATCACCATGGGGGCAATTTGTAGAACAAAGACCAAATGAAACATATTCGAGAGCACAGAGGAATTCATTATACTCCACACATTCTCCCCACAGAGGCTCAGTCCACAATTAGAGCTGAGAGTCTCCTTACAATTCCCAGTTCTGAAATGCTTAGGCACATGGACAAACACTGACCACACATGAAATGATGATGATGGGAATGCCTCACAAAGATAGACAAACTGTGTTGGAGTTTGCATGACACCGATATTCTCTTTTTCAAGCCAGGCAGCAAACAGATGGAGAGCTGAGGCTGAAAGGTGGGTCTAAGGTTCCACAGCCTGCATGTGGCAGTAGGGGATCACGCAAAGCATTCAGGAGATCTGAGTTCATATTCTGACTCTGCCATTCACTCATGCTGTGATTTCAGACAAGATAAAGTGAATCAGGGGCTTCCCTGGTGGCTCAGCGGTAAAGAATCCGCTTGCCAAGCAGGAGATGTAGGTTCAATCCCTGCGTTGGGGAAGACTCCTGAAGAAGGAAATGGCAGCTCACTCCAGTATCCCTGCCCGGGAAATCACAGGGACAGAGGAGCCTGGCGGGCTACAGTCCACGGGGTCACAAAGAGTCAGATGTGACTTAGCAACTAAAAAACAACAACAAAGTAAATGAGACTCATACTACTTGTTTTTCTAAAAAAATAATTAATAATTACTTGAGGCATATGACTTCTTGATACTTGTCCTCCAGAGTATGATATTTTGCCTTCTTAGAGAGAGGAAGGAAAAACTGAATACAGAGGGGGAAAGGCCAGCACCAAGTCCTACTCAGAGTATGCTTCGAAGACCAGTGGCCTCAGCATCACTGGCTGAACTGTTAGAAATGCAAATTCTTGACTCCACCGAATAGCTACTAAACCAGCTTCCCTGGGAGGCCCAGGAATACATTATTTAATAAACTCTCTAGGAGACTTGTAAACCCACTAAAGTGTGATAAGTACTTTGCTACACACAGCGAATAAACCGATTCATTCTATATCCTGGTTAACTCCCAAGTTTGTATCAATTTCCCCCAATGATCCAACTGCTTATGTGACTTCTACATTTGGAGGACTAAAAGACATCTAAAATGAAACATGTCTAAAACCAAACTCTTGATTTTTCTCTTTGAACCTGCTGCAGCTGCAGTCTTCCCACTGGGAACAAGCACAGCTACTGACCCAGCTCTTCAAGCCAAAAACCTAGGTGGAATTCTTGATGCCGTTCTCTCTCAGATCCTGTATCCAATCCAATCCATCAACAGATACTGCACATCCAATCTTCAAACATCCAGATTCCCCCCCTGCTCACCATGGATGTCTTCACCACTGCCAACCTAGTCCCTACCCTCTCATTGCAAGGGCCTCCACAACTGTTCCGTGACCCTACAGCCTGCTCTCTCATAGCTAACACTGATGATGTTCATCTTTTTCTTTTTTTTAAATATTTATTTATTTGTCTGCGTTGGGTCTTAGTTGCACAATGCAAGATCTTTCACTGTGGCTCATGTGCTCAGCACTTGTGGCACATGGGCTTAGCTGCTCCACGGCATGTGGAATCTTAGTCCCCTGACCAGGGGTCGAACCCACGTCCCCTGCATTGCAAAGCATACTCTTAACAACTGGACCAGTGGAGAAGTTCCCTGGTGATGTTAACCTTAATTGCCTGGTTTAGGTGGTGTTACTCGGGCGTTCCTTTATCTAGGTCTTCTCAGCAGAAAGAGCTAGAAAATACATGTGTTTAAACTAAGTCATGTATCCACACATATTTATCTCTGTTTCAAGCTCCAACCAATATTTCAAACTTCAACCCAGCACCACAGGGTTCGTTCTAGTATTTATTTCCCTTTTGCTTACTGGGAATTCTTCTGGTCACTTCTTTTTCAACACTGAGAAACCTGGTTCTCATTATCTGCAATATATTACTCATTGTTCAATCCTAGAATAAATATCAGGTCGTTTCAGAGTTGCTAACACACACTCCTCTTCTTCCTCTCTTTTCCCCTCTCCCAGTGTGACGAACAAATTCACCAACTAGTTCAGCCACAGTCTACAGCTCTCTGTGTGTTTAGCCTTACGCTTTACCACCGGGCACCACTATCCAAAGTTACTATGTCAGATGTTTCTGTCCTCTACCTCTTCAAGGGCACATCACCTCTGAATGTGCCAACTCTATTCCTCCCCAAATGTATTAACCTCAGTCTAATTGTGAGAAAACAGCAGACAGTCCCAAGGTGAGGGACACATTCTACACAGGAACCGATCAGTACTCTTCAAAAATATCAATGTCATATATGTAAATCCATGGCTAATTCATTTCAATGTATGACAAAAACCACTGCAATGTTGTAAAGTAATTAGCCTCCAACTAATAAAAATAAATGGAAAAAAAAATTAAATAAATAAATAAATAAATAAAATATATCTACCAAAAAAAAAAAAATCAATGTCAAGAAAGACAAGGAAAGATTAACAAATCCCACAGACTAAAGGAGACTAAGGATAGGTAACAACTAAATGCAATGTGGCGTCTGGACTGGATACTGGAATAGAAAAACTGGTGCAATCCAAATAAAGTCTGCAGTATTCTTCTACCAGTATTAACTTCTAAGTTTTGATATCATTGTGCTCTGGTTCCACAAGATGTTAGTATCAGAAGAACCTAGATGAAGGATCTATAGGCACTCTCCACCATTTCTTTAATTGAAAATTTTATTGAGATGATTGGAGATTCACATGCAGTTGTAAAAACTAATGGAGATCTCTTGTACACTTCATCTCCCAATGGTAATATTTTGCAAAATGATAGTACAATATCACAATCAGGATACTAATATTGATATAATCTACCCATCTTCTCCATTTTACTTATATTCACTTGTGTGTCTGTGACATCTATTTTTTTGGAAGTCTAAAATCAATCCAAAATAAAAAAGATTTTTTAAAAAAGGTTGATGAATTGGCACAATTGACATTCCCCATCCCCACTTCCTCTGAGAAAGTGTCCACCATCATACCTGCTTCACCCATCTCTTTACTCATAGCCCCTATAGGAATTTAAATATGTGAACCCTGGAGCATGTAATTTTTAGGGACCATTCCAACAATAATCCTGTGTAATAGCATTATTGCTATTTTGCAAATAAGAAAACTGAAGCTCGCAGAGGTTAATGCACACGCTCAAGTTCAACAGTACAAGGCAGGTTTGAATTTAAAGCCTTTTTATTTCATCTCTAACAGCTGTTATGGCTCAAGGGGAGTCAATCTAGGCTGAACCCACTGGCCTTGACAATTATACGCTTCTAGGTT